TTTTTTTGCCCTTTGCTGAGTTCAATCCTTGCAGCTCCCAGGACGGTGTGGCCGGATGAGGTGATGGGACCCTTTGGTCCCCAAGATCAGAGGTTTCAGCTTCCTGGTAACATCGGCTTCGACTGCCACCTCCATGGCACAGCTTCCCAAAAAAAATCCCAAACTTCCAAGAGCCTCCCTGATATTTTAGCAGAGCCCTCAGCCAGTGAGAGACACGAATTTGTCATGGCACAATACATCCAGGAATTCCAGGTGAGATCAAACCCCTCCTGCCTGGCACAGCAGCACAGCTCACCCCTCTTTTCTTCCTCAAAACAAAAAATAATAATAATTTTCTGCACATTTTGGAAATTTGGATTTTATTGGGTTGAGCTGGAGGTGTCACAGAAGGTGCCTGAAGTTTTTTTTTTTAGGATAAAAAGATTTCAGGCTGTTTTGTAACAGCATTTTAAGGGTTGATTGATGGGAGAATTTTAGTCCCCAAACGTTTTGTTTTCCCTTTTGCTGAGTAAAATTAAAATTTCTTTCACTATTTGATTAAATGGATTTGGATTTATAAAGTGTTGTAATAGAGAATTTCAATTTCCCAATCTGCTGTTTGCACTTTTTCTGAGTCAAATTAAAATTTCCTTTGCTGTTCTATTGAATGGATCAGGTTTTAAAAAATTTGGATAATGGGAGAATTTCAGTGTCCAGATCTGCTCTTTGCCCTTTTACTGAGTAAAATTGAAATTTCTTTCAGCATTTTATTTATTGGATCTGGATTTACAAACTTTGGATAATGGGAGAATTTCATTTTCCCAATCTGCTGGTTGCCCTCTTACTGAGTAAAATTAAAATTTCTTTAAGTATTTTATTTATTTGATCTGGATTTACAAACTTTGGGTAATGAGAGAATTTCAGTCTCCAAATCTTTGCCCTTTTACTGAATAAAATTGAAATTTCTTTCATTATTTTATTTATTGGATCTGGATTTACAAACTTTGGGCAATATTTATTTTCTAAAAAAACCCCAGAATTCACCCAGGAATTTCAGCCTCCCAATGAGATGATTGTGACATTGATTCAGATTCATTATTATCAATTAATAATTATAAATTAATAATTACAGAATGATTCCCAACATTCTCACAAATCTCCAGTGCTGCTCTCCAGCCTCTGAATTTGTGGAATACTCAGAATTTTTTGGGGGGAATCAGTGAGAAAATCTCCATTGGAAAAGTGCTGGATCCTGGATTTTATGAATGATTTCTTTTTTATAGGAATTTTATTTATAATAATATTGTTTATAATAATTTAAAATAATAATTTTCAGCTTGGCTGGGTCCTAAAAACCCTAAAACAAAAAAAGGACTTTTTTTTTTTGCCCTAAAAAGCCACCAGAAAATTCTGGTTTAGTTCATTTAGTGCAACTGAAATCTATTAAATAATTAAATTGCTTCCAGTATAATTACCTGAAAATGTTAATTCTATATTGATAAGATTTTATTATTAATATAATAAAATATAAATAATAGTAAACATAAAATTGTTTCAGATAATTTTTGAAAACGTCAGTATTTCTATTATATATTTAATATATGTATTTTATATGTATTATACTCTGTATTTATATTTAATATCTATTATTATATATTAAATATATTTATATTTAATATTATTATATATTATAATATTTGGGGATCTCTATGAATTCTGCTTTAACACAAAACAGTTCCAATAAAATACAAAACTTTGGTATTTCTATAAAATAGAAATATTGCTGGGTAGATTGAAGTAACACCAATATCTTTTTAAAATATATTTTAATATCTTTAATAATATTATTTTAATATTTGATATAAAAACTCTGAGCTCCCACTGCAAATCATCAGAAACTGCTCAAGTGGAGCTGATCACTAAACCATATTTTAATGTTATTTTTTAAATTTATTTGATTTTTATTTGTCATTTATTTATTACTTCATTTATTTGATGTTATTCCTGTTTGTTATTAACAGAAAAAATTGGAATTTTGCTGATTTTTTTATTTTTATTTTTTTTTTTTAGGGTTCTGATTCTCCCCAGAAGCAGCAAATCAATAATGCTGAAACTTATTTTGAAAATGCCAAGGTGGAATGTGCAGTGCAAGCCTGTCCTGAGCTGCTGAGAAAAGGTTCCATTTTTGATTTATTTCTCTATTTAATTAATTAATTTAGCCAAGAAATCCCCAAATGATCAAATGAAAAGCCAGTGATGGAAATGCTCTGTCATTGATAGCACAGAATGTGGTGTGGGAAAGGTTAATTCAGGGTTTAAAATTAGAAAAATCTCAATTTATGGAATGGAAACCAAAGCTTTGCTTTAATTTAATATTTCAATTAAAATGTCATTTTCAAATGATAAAATTTTCATTGAATGGAAACCAAAGCTTTGCTGTTGATAATATTTAATATTTCAATTAAAATGTCATTTTCAAATGACAAAATTCTCATTTTCATTGAATGAAAACCAAAGCTTTACTGTTAATAATATTTAATATTTCAATTAAAATGTCATTTTCAAATGACAAAATTTTCATTTTCATTGAATGGAAACCAAAGCTTTACTGCTGAAAATATTTAATATTTCAATTAAAATGTCATTTTCAAATGACAAAATTCTCATTTTCATTGAATGAAAACCAAAGCTTTGATGCTGACAATATTTAATATTTCAATTAAAAAGTCATTTTCAAATGATAAAATTCTCATTTTCATTGAATGGAAACCAAAGCTTTGCTGCTGAAAATATTTAATATTTCAATGAAAATGTCATTTTCAAATGATAAAATTTTCATTGAATGGAAACCAAAGCTTTACTGCTGAAAATATTTAATATTTCAATTAAAATGTCATTTTTAGTTGTTTTAGTGCCAGGAAAATTCTGGAGTTAATTCCTCATCCAAAATCCATTTATCA